TTATTTAGAGTTTACCCCCCCCCCCCAAATCAGACATGCTGAAAAAGCATTGTGACGTGATTTGCTTTCTACAGTTGGGTTTAAGAATTAAATGTTGGTTTTGAATTTCTGCTATTTTACTTATTGACCCTGGAAGTATTGATACTGAAAATCAGATAGTTAAGAAATTGGTTTCTGTGCTCTGGAGTCGTGGCCGTGCTGAAGAGCCGCTAGTGGGGGGCAACTGGTGGCCTCGGTAGGGCGTGAAGGGCGGACCGAAATGCCCCCTTCCCATGAGGTTTTAGTCGCCCCCACTCCCCTGGCTCATACCTGCTGTCCACAAGGCTCCCATGCGGCCGCCATCTTTCTTTCCAGAGAGGAGAAGGCGACTGGGGCAACACCCTTTCCCCTCCGGACAGACATGATGGCCTGGATTAACGCATAGTCCTTTCACTTTTCTGCTCCAAGCTGCTGGGTTCTGCATTAAGTCCCTGTGCTTCTGGGGCTGTGCCCGTGCTGGAGAGCCGCTCGCGGGGGGCAACTGGTGACCTCGGTAGGGCGTGAAGGACGGACTGGAACGCCCCCCTTCCCATGAGATTTTAGTCGCCCCCACACCCCCGGCTCATACCTGCTGTCCACAAGGCTCCCATGCGGCCGCCATCCTTCTTTCCAGAGAAGAGAGGGTGAATGGGGCAACACCCTTTCCCCTCTGGCAGACTTGATGGCCTGGATTAACGCATAGTCCGTTCATTTTTCTGCTCCAAGCTGCTGGGTTCTGCATTAAGTCCTTGTGCTTCTGGGGCTGTGGCCGTGCTGGAGAGCCGCTCGTGGGGGGCAACTGGTGGCCTCGGTAGGGTGTGAAGGATGGACCGGAACGCCCCCCTTCCTATGAGGTTTTAGTCGCCCCCGCTCCCCCGGCTCATGCCTGCTCTCCACAAGGCTCCCATGTGGCCGCCATCTTTCTTTCCAGAGAGGAGAGGGCGAATGGGGCAACACCCTTTCCCCTCCAGCAGATTTGATGGCCTGGATTAACGCATAGTCCGTTCACTTTTCTGCTCCAAGCTGTTGGGTTCTGCATTAAATCCTTGTGTTTCTGGGGCTGTGGCTGTGCTGGAGAGCCGCTCGTGGGGGGCAATTGGTGGCCTCGGTAGGGCCTGAAGGACAGACCGGAACACCCCCCTTCCCATGAGGTTTTAGTCGCCCCTACACCCCCGGCTCATACCTGCTGTCCATAAAGCTCCCATGTGGCCGCCACCTTTCTTTCCAGAGGGAGGAGGGCGGAAGGGACCAACACCCTTTCCCCTCCGGGCAGACATGATGGCCTGGATTAACGCATAGTCCTTTCACTTTTCTGCTCCAAGCTGCTGGGTTCTGCATTAAGTCCTTGTGCTTCTGGGGCTGTGGCCGTGCTGGAGAGCCGTTCGTGGGGGGCAACTGGTGGCCTCGGTAGGGTGTGAAGGATGGACCGGAACGCCCCCCTTCCCATGAGGTTTTAGTCGCTCCCGCTCCCCCGGCTCATGCCTGCTGTCCACAAGGCTCCCATGTGGCCGCCATCTTTCTTTCCAGAGAGGAGAGGGCGAATGGGGCAACACCCTTTCCCCTCCAGCAGATTTGATGGCCTGGATTAACGCATAGTCCGTTCACTTTTCTGCTCCAAGCTGTTGGGTTCTGCATTAAATCCTTGTGTTTCTGGGGCTGTGGCCGTGCTGGAGAGCCGCTCGTGGGGGGCAACTGGTGGCCTCGGTAGGGCGTGAAAGACGGACCGGAACGCCCCCCTTCCCATGAGGTTTTAGTCGCCCCCGCTCAGGTGGATTTTTTTTTAAAAAATCATTCTAGGATATTTGAGCCAAACTTCAGAATATTTTTCCTTTGCTGCAGGATAAATAATCCCATAAAATCAATTAAATCACTCCCTCCTTGATTCGCCCGATTTTTGTAGACAATTGATCGAAAAATAAAATTGTTTATGAGAGTCATAAACAATAGAACTTTCAAAAACAATCTCTGTTGTCCCGCAAACTCACTCCAACAGATGTTGGATCAATGGATCCAAATATTTGTCCTAAAGAATTCCTAGGAATTCTCTTAGATAAGCAGACTATAAAGAACAAAATCAGAAAATTCAATACTGATAACAATATTGGTCTCTAATGTACAGTACATATTCAAAACTTTGTTTCTAGTTCAGGCTCTAAATTTGAACCATATACTACATTTTGCTGTCAAGTGTCTTCAATGTCCATTAGTCTGAAACAGGTCTGAAGGTTTCTTTTTCTTGGCATTGACTTCTCAAAACTTGAAGTAGCACTGTTTTTTAAGACTATATACGTTTGAGGTATAGTTCATTATAAATCAGCCTTTGATTATATCACATTATGTTCGTCACCAAAAGTCCAGTTTCTAGATCCCACCATTCAATTGGTTACTTTAACTGCATTTACTTACCATTCATCCCTTCCTTTCTGATAATGGATTGATCTTACAGTCTAAAGGTTTTGCTTTTTCATTTTCTTTAACCATGTATACAAGAGAGATCATACAGTGTTAGTCTTTCTTCATATCACTCATTTCACAAAGTATGATAACTAGAGATATCTATATTGTTACAAATGGCATGATTTCATCTTTTCATAGCTGATATTTCATTGTTTGGATACCATTTATTTTTTACCAAGCTTGACTTTTCAAAGGAGAACTCCAGTTAGTTATTTGTAGATTATTATTTAATCAGAACTTCTTTGATGTTTTATAATGATTGGATTCCAGTAACATATTTGGAGCAAGAACTCTATATAAGAGACACTGTATTCTTTCTATTTATCAAACTTGAGAACATATGACAATATTAACATTCATTATCTATTTAAAATAGTGTCTCCTGGTTCTCTCCATAGTAAAGTTATTATTTTTCCTTTGTAATTCATAAGTAATTAGAGGGCAGATACACCAAAACTGTTTTTATCTCTTTATTCATCAAACTTTTACATACCAGTTTTGATTCTTGCCTGAATCAATTATTACCATTATTTTCTATCTCCATAATTTATTTCTTCTGCATTTATTAGATGGTATCATATTTTCAGGGCTTTCCCTTCTTGTTTGCATTTTCATCTGTATGTTTGCATTTTTATTTATTTATAATCAGAGTAGACTTGGGGATTCTTACTTTATTCAGTGATATATATTTTATTTATTTTATTCATTTATTCAGTGATATAAAAATTAAATATCTAATTTAAATCAATCCAAGTTAATTTTCCATCACTGACAGAATACTCCTGAAAGACTTGGGAAATTTATAAGTTGGAAACAATTTCTCTTGGCAGTCCAATAAAGCAATCTTTACACTCTTCACATTTACAAAGGTGCTTCCTGCTGCTTCCATTATAACTTCCTGCGCCACTCTAGGAAGCCCAAAAATCTGAAGAGAAGTCACAGAGAAGACAAATATGGGCAGAAGTGACCTCCAATCTTCCTGGAGCCACTACAAAAGTTATGTTGTGGGAAAAGATGTTTCTTGCTATGCTCACTGATTTCTCTGTCCTCTCTCTGGAAACTTTTCTCAAAGAGATGGACCAGCTTCCTCAATCCTCTATGTTACCAATATTTTTTCTCCACCACCCTCTGGAACTTCATGTTTGGCTACAGTCCTGGCTTTATTTACTGAATATGTTGGGTGTTATGTGCAAAATTGACCACAAGTTGATGGGATTATACTTTTTATCTCCAGATGAATTCTTCACCCTCTGTACACAGGTCAATACTCAGAAGGCTAAAGTACATAAACTACACCAGCAGTTGGATTCAATCAACGTTAGGAATTGGCAAGAGATCAGAAGACTAGAAACAGTGGGAAATAATCCTTCAAAGTCTATCACTGTCAACTCACATGGGGAGATACAGACCTCTATCAAACGCCTTCCTCACATAGCTATTCCTCCTCTTTTCCTTACTTCTTCAGTCCAGGGCTGTGGCTTTTCCTAGGGTATACCACTACTGACCGTTGCTGTCTTCAATATATATTTTTTACTATATATTTTTAATATCCTCATTATTAAATTTTAACTTGCCTCAGTTAATTAATCTGGGTGAGATTAACTGAATCACCTAATTTGGGTGACACCCAAAGGACAGAAAAAAATGTAGATGGGGGAGATTTACAATAGTTTCATTCACTAAAAAGAGGCACAGCTGAAGTCTAATTTTGTTTATCACCACCTTTCTTAGTGCCTATCTGCCTTTATCTTTTCCGTATAGATAAAAACATTGTAGAATAAATGCTATATCTGAATTGTACCCATATGCCACTAAAGGAGATATGTCCAAGCAAAGCACACAGCTAAAGATTAAGATTCTTTCATGTTGTCCTAGCAGTAAAGAAATGCCACAGAACACAACATAACAATACAGATAACATTTCCTCCTGAGAGAACCCAAAGGAATCTCCAAGTACTAGTCAGTTCAAATGTTGTCTTGTACTATGCTTCTATACACAATGACATCAAAAATCTTCTTATCCAAACACAGGTATGCCATGATTATATTCATGATCCAATGCAATAAATTTATTGAACGGATGTTCAAATATCACATTTGTTAATAATTTAATTTTTAAATAAAATTAACAAATATCAAAGATTAGATCATCATAATATTGAATTCATTCACTTAAGCCACAGCCAGGGAAGTGAGATTTGAACATGCTCTGTGCTCAAATCAATTTACCATTAAACGATATGGCAATTATTGTCAATTGACTATCTCTTTCAGACTTGCAGAAGAGTTCATCAAAACCTTGTTACATATATGTTAGCACATGTGATTCCTGTTATGACAAAAAATGGTTGAGATTTGCTATCCTGTTTTGTCAAAAAATAGGCATATTTATTTCAACTCTGTACTATTCTCTCAAAGCCTTCCTCTTGCCACCTCTAAAACCTGGTATTGTTGGTATAAGCAGAGTTTCTCCCTTGGAGCAAACACAAATCAATTTAGCTTTAGCTCAAACTATAATTAATTACCTGTAAATCTGCATCAAATTCATGTTTCAGATGTGCTTCCTCTGCAGCTTCCACAAGACGCTGAAAATAAACAAATTTAAAAAAATACATAAATAACATGAAGGGTCAGAAGTGTGACCTGGACTTATCTTACCAATGTGAAAAGTTGAGGAGCTCCGTTGCTCCCAAACAGACTGTATCAAAGCATGTTCATTGTGACCTAGTGTCTTTGCTACCATCAATTAAAAATACCATCATTTGTGTTGAAATCTGGGTTTCCCCCTCATTATTCTGACAAATATTTGCTTTTATAAGTGCATACATAGTCTGCATCCACTTTTAATAACTCAGAGAAACTGTTTCTTAAGGTCCAATGTGAATTTCAAACTCTACCTACAAAAACACTTACATTTGTGTAGAAGGCCCTTAATCAAAATGTACTGAATTGAATCCAACTAACTCTAAGTGAGCCAGTCCCGTCCTGCCGCACACAAATTTTTGCAAAAGACTTTATTCTAATTCCCTCAATATTTCAAGGTCATTTTTTCTGCACCTAGTTCTAGTACGGAATAATCAGGTGACAATTATTTTAATTTTATGGTACTCTGATGCCATTTTAACATTATGCAATCCCAATAAGCATTTCAATAAAACTAAACAAATAAGCAGAACCCATAAACACACCACTCTTGTTATCTTTCAGCACCAAATTCAAGCAATTTATATTCTTGTGAAAACAATTTCATAAAATTAATTTAAAAGACAATTAGTTAACAATCAAAATCATTTTTTACTCTAACTTTATGGACAAGCCATTTTAGTGAAATAATATTTCACTGACATTTCATCGAACTAAATGCAAAACCTTTAGAGTCAAGTACAAAATAACCAAATTTTTATTTTTCCCATGGTTATTCTTATAGCCTGTTACCATCTGTAATTTGTTTTCTCTTGACATACTATAGATGAGTTTAGTAAGTCATGTTAAAAAAATAATGACGGGCTAGAGTGATAGTACAGTGGTTAGGGAGTTTGCCTTGCACATGGCCGACTCAGGTTCAATTCCCAGACTCTCCTGTGGTAACCCAAGCACTGCCAGGAGTAATTCCTGAGTGCATGAGCCAGAGTAACCCTGTGCATCGCCGGGAAGACCCAAAAGGTCCCCCCCCCCCCAAAAAATAATGACAATGGCATTTATTTCAATAATCACAGATCAACAGACAAATATTTCATAAATTATGATTACATTAAACATGAAAATAAAAATTGTGAACATATTAGGTATATAGACAATGTAGAGCACTAGGCCCACTCTCCCTTCACAGGGCACATAAAGAAAGAAACAGGCCAGTCATAGCAGGTCTGCTCAAGTCAGCAACCTGGAAGTGATGGCCAGTCTAACTCTCCATATTGCTTTTACACGGGTGGAAGGGGTTTGTTGTTCTCTGGTCAATCAAAGACTAAACCTCAGGAGAACATTACTGGGATAATGCCATTATCAAAAAACCAGTTATGTAATATGCTTTATAGAATATGTATAAATATTGGGCTGGAGCCATAGCACAGTCGGTAGGGCATTTGCCTTGCATGCGGCTGACCCAACCGACCCGGGTTCGATTCCTCCACCCCTCTTAGAGAGCCCGGCAAGCTACCAAGAGTATCTCGCCCACACGGCAAAGCCTGGCAAGCTACCCATGATGCATTCGATATGCCGAACACAGTAACAACAAGTCTCACGATGGAGATGTTACTGGGCCTGCTCAAGCAAATCGATGAACAATGGGAGGACAGTGACAGTATAAATATTCTGCATTTCTGAACAATTCCATTGCCAAAAGGCATGCGTTTTGGTTATGTATTTGCTGAAGTATACAGAACTTATTATTTTCCATGGTGTATAAGCATTCTGAGAATTTAGAGAAGAGGTGTCAGTGGCACATGCAAATAATGGAAAGATAAGAATATAATAAAACTTCACTGAGACACGAGAGCTAACACTGGGGAAAAGGTAAGAATCAGAAAACAAACAAACAGTGCTCGCTTCGGCAGCATGCATACTAAAATTAGAACGATACAGAGACGATTAGTATGGCCCTGCTCAAGGATGACATGCAAATTCGTGAATCGTTCCATATTTTTCTGGCTCTTTGCAGAAATCCAAAATCGTGAGGCCACGATTGCGGCCACACAAGATTATATGATTCTCATAATGAGCTATAGAAAACAAAGTATTTCACAATGCCTTTTCAGCAATTCTGTTTGTGGGGGGGGAAATTCTAAACAATAATGGTGCATCTTTTGTCGAAATAATGAATGTAATCAATGTAGAGAAGAGTTAAATGGAGATCATCTGCCTCACAGGCATTGGGAGGGGTTGGAGGTGGGTATATTGGGGTTCTTGGTGGTGAAAAATGAGTACAGCTGAAGGGAGAGGTGTTTGATCATTGTATGACCAAGACTTAAACCTGAAAGGTTAGCAAGTTTCCCCACAGTGATTCAATAAATAAATATAAGAATAAATAAATAAATAAAATTATGAAAAAAGAAAACAAACAAACAAACACCGTCCTCCCTTGTTCATCGATTTGCTAGAGTGAACCCAGTAACGTCTCCATTTTGAGACTTGTTGTTACTGTGTTTGGCATACCGAATATGTCACGGATAGCTTGCCAGGCTTTGCCGTGCAGGCAAAATACTCTCAGTAGCTTGCTGGGCTCTCCGACAGGGGTGGAGGAATCGAACCCGCTAGGCCGGGCTGGCTGTGTGCAAGGCAAATGCCCTACCACTATAATATGGCACTTAATACAAAATTCATCCAAAACTCTTTTCTCTTTGTGAAGCAGTGAGTACACTGCCACTGCTGGCTAGTTTGTTTTTTTTTTATAACTTTAAGTTAAAAATTTGCTTTATGTCAACAAAACGGGAGACTAACACCCAGGAAGGGCTCAGATTGGTACCAGGAATTTGGCTCCATGACTTGAAGGCCAGCCACATGTGCTGGGTGAGAGGGAGGCTCAGATAGAGAGGAGAGCACCAAGTGAGGGGTGTTGTAAGGACCCTCCCAGGGTGGGAGGGACATGCTGGAAGTGGTCTGTGGACCAAGCATGACTGCCACTCAGTGCCTCTCTGGCAAAACACAGTACCCAAAAGAAGAGAGGGAGGGCAGGGAGGAATGCCCTGCCGCAGCGGCAGGGTGGGACGGGGGGGTGGGGGGGAGGATGGGGGGTGGGAGGGATGCTGGGACCCGTGGTGGGGGAGGATGGGCACTGGTGGAGGGATGGGTGCTTGATCGTTGTATGGCTGGAACCCAAGCGCAAAGATTTGTGAGTCTATAGGTGTGCTTCGTGGTGTTTCACTAATAAAAAAAATGATAAAAAAAAATTTGCTTTATGTCTTTTTCTTTAAACTTCATTTATCTCATTCATATGTTGTTTCCAAGAAGATAATCTCCAATCCTATTTACTACCAAGTTTTAGGGAAGATGATTCAAGAGAGGATAGCCAACTGGCAGCTATACAAAATAACTGTCTCATGGAAGACAAATAAGTTCTATGAAACAAGGCCCTTCACCAGGCTCTTCCATTCATGCAGGCCACAGTGGGATAATCCCAAAATTACTCCCAAATGCCCATTCGAGACAGGGTCTTATTTTCTGGGAAAATCCAAAGGAAATCCCCAAGAACGTTTGGTTTTTATGCACAATGATAAGAATAAACAACACCTCGGGAACTATGAACCTTTGAGAGAGAATTGAGCTTCGTTGATCATTTTACTAAAATGTTTCTATAAAGATAAGTGGCTAAGAATAAATATTACTTAAGAAGAAATCATATGCCATAAATGTAGTCCTGGAGACAAAAGTTCTTACTGTTAAAAAAATAAAAATAAATGAAGTCGAGGCTGGAGTGATAACACAGCGGGTAGGGCGTTTGCCTTGCACAAGGCCAACCCAGGTTCGATTTCCAACATCCCATAAGGTCCCCCAAGCACCACCAGGAGTAATTCCTGAGTGAAGAGCCAGAAGTAACTCCTGTGTATCTCTGGATGTGACCCATAAAGAAAAAAAAATGAATGAAATCATCAATTAAGCAAGTTAAGATTACTCAATTTCTGACTCTGATGTTGCCAATAGAAGATAACAGCCTATACGATCTCTTTTCTAAGTAAATGCCCTTATTATCTAGGTCATATTAACTGTGTTTTAAAAATAAGTTTGACTATCACTTGTAGGTGAGAAAAATCAACTTAGATTTGCTAATATTTTAGTTAATCATATAAGAAACTTTCACCAAGTCTGATGCTGTTTTATAAAAGCGGTGTGCTTTTAATAAAAATAAGTTAAGTTAATTTTCTTTTATAAAAATTCCCCTTTTGGATCTGAAGATGGGATTATAGAATTATGAATTTGGTTTTTAATTAAAACTGAACACTGAAATAAAAATGGTTTTGTAGACTAGTATTCAAAATTGAGCTTTGGGATAAAGGAAAATAGAAGGCTTGTCTACAGATATCCCTCTCCCTTATTATTACCAACGCATTCCCTTGTTCAATAAAAATGACAATATACAAGAATATATACTCAGGCCTTGGAACAAAGCACTGGCAAGCAAAAAAGTTTAACTCATGAGTTGATGTACATTTCATTGGCTTTCATATTTCTAAATAACTCTTCTTTTTTAGTGAAATAAATAAAAATAAGAGCTATCTTTATAAATAAAAAGTTCTGAAAGTCATGGACCATGGAAAGTATTTATAGCTATAGGGAGGCAAAACTGCCAAGGGGAACACAGGGATATTAAAGCATTTCATTTAAAGTCACATCTTATTTCTTGTTACACTGACCTCACATATAATCTGTACCACATTACAGAATGCACAGTTTCCCATCTCCTCCCTGAAAACACTTAAATCAAGACAAGGGCTAAAGACATCACAGAGGTCAAATTTTTTGTCATGGTCCAAAACAGGAGAAATAGGACACCAAGTCAAAGTAAAAATTGGATCAGAAGAAGAAAATGATTTTTTTGTTCTACTTGTATTTCATTTTGTTGTTGTTGTTCCTGATCATTTTGGCTTAACAGGAGAAAAGATAGAATGAGAAGTGCAGTGAGAGGTAGAAAAAATAATGAAAAATGTGATTACATCACCAAGGTAACATTCTACTGGACTCAGACATATGTAAAAAAATATTGTACAAATAACAAAATTAATAAACTCCCTAAAATTGAAGAGGAGCAGGTTATGACACCAATAAATAAACAAATAAACAAATAAACACCTTTTTTGCTTGCCAGTGCTTTGTTCCAAGGCCTGAGTATATATTCTTGTATATTGTCATTTTTATTGAACAAGGGAATGCGTTGGAATTTCAGAGAGTGAAAAAAGGTTAGTTTTATTCCTCATTTCAAAGCTAAAAAGTTTGGACTTCTTCTAAGTGACATTACAATGGGATATTTACATTTAATGATGGTTTGAAAGCACTAAACATGTTTATTGACTTTTATTGAATGTTTGAAATAACATATGTCACACTCATACAACATTTTATGGCCATCTTTCTGGGAATAAAAATATAACACTATCTCAAATATAACTGAAGCTCAATTGGGGTATTCTAAGGAAAATCTCTCATCATTTTTTAATCTCTTATCATTAATATGGAGGTGAACCACATATCCATTATACTGATTTTCTACCAAAGTGTGAGATCACTTGAAGTCTTCCTTCAAATCAACTAGACTAACCATACAGAAAAATTTTCAAGTAGAATGATAGAGGGTAACTAAAAATTACCATCCTAACCATATCCACAGTGGAATGATTTTTATTTTGCTGACACTAGATTCTGTAGATATTATTTTAAGGACCAGAGTGTGATGACTTAAGAGTTACACCATTTGCCAATTAGTATGTACCCGAGTTGACACTCTCACACAACGTTCCCCGATACAGTCAGTGGTGCTGAGGGCAGAGAAAACCTAAATCTCTTGAGTAAGGGATCTCAAACTCCATCAATCTCATAAGTAAAATGAATCGTATCTACTCTCATTCGAAACTGTCAGCAAGTAAGTAGATATCTCTGAGACACTAGACAAAATGAGATTTTGTTTTAGGATTAATTCCAAACACTCCTCTCTTATTAAGGGTCAGAAACTAACAATTTAAGAACCATTGACTTGGAAAAAGGAGTAAGATGTTCACATTTACTTTCCTTCTGGCACTGAAATCCCTTCCCTTCTGTTCTGGGGACAGGGTTCTGGTCACTCTGTAACAATGTGGATTAATTTTAGCTGCTTCTGTGGCTATAGGAATCAGATAACTACTCCTCAAAGTGTGTGATTTGCACCCCCAGTTATCCACAGAGGAGAGGGAGCTGAAGAAGGGGAAAGGACATTCACACGGATATGAATTATTTCCACTGAAGGGATAGGTTACAAAGAAAGCTGTCAGTGGGGCTAGAGCAATAGTACAGCGGGTAGGGTGTTTGCCTTGCATGCAGCCAACCCAGGTTCGATTCCCAGCATCCGATATGGTCCCCCAAAGCACTGCCAGGAGTGATTTCTGAGTGCAGAGCCAGGAGTAACCCCTGAGCATCGTCAAGTGTGACCCAAAAAGGAAAAAAACGAAAGAAATAAAGCTATCAGTAGGCTGGGTGCAGTTCAGTGATGACAGTAAAGTTCTAAGAGAGAAGGGAGGCTCTCCCAGATGGAAAGGGGCCGAGAGGGTATCCAAGTCTGTAGAAATAACACCGAATTCTGGAGGCAATAAAATGTGCTAGAAATGGCTAGATTTCAGAGACTACACTGAAGTCACATTAATAGATGAGCTTCAGGCAGATCTCCAGGACAAAAAGAGTAACCAAGACAGATGGACATACTTAGATTAAAAAAAAATCCACAACCATTTTCTCTCTCACCCTGAATCTGCAGTTCAACTCATAGCTGAGATCTGGATCATATTCAGTAATCCTTATTGATACAAATGTTTTTACTTTTTCAATTCCACTAGGAACGACATGTATAAATTACCAACTACCATGATGACCAGTTTTTAGAGAAAAACATCTTTTAAGCAGCCTTCATTAACTCTTTATTCCTGTAGAAGAAATAAGCTTTGTTGTGCATGAATGAACATTTTGTACAAAATGTCCTTCTCCCTGAAAGCTGCAAAGATTGCTTCTGCTTTAAAAACGGCAAACATTTTAAAGTGGATTATAAAAACTAATCTACAAAGTGTCCAGAGAAAACAGGTAATGAAACAATACAGCAAACACATCTTCTCTGTAAGTATAGGGGAGCTCTCTTCTCCCTGCCTCCTCCTTCCAGTCTCCTTCAGGTTGCCCAAGACTACATCAGACTTCTACAGGATAAAATAAGCCTAGAGTTTAATTCTGAGGATATCCCTTCAATCAATAACAAACTATCTTTGTTTCCACATAAGATTCCTGTTATTAATTTGAGACTGATTAAATTAATAACTGTTATAAACATAAGGACCAATTTCCAAACCAAAGGCATCTCATTCCATCACGATCACGACCACGACCACCCTGTTGTTCGTCGATTGCCTCGAGCAGGTGCCAGTAACATCTTCTTCGTCCTAGCCCTGAGATTTTTTTTTTAAAGTGCCATATTCAAGGCTTTTTCAGGGTTAGGAGAATGAGACCCATCATTGTTACTGGTATTTGGCATATTGGGTATACCACGGGGAGTTTGCCAGACTCTGCCGTGTGGGCAGGTTACATTTGGTAGCCTGCCAGTTTGTCCAAAGTAGGAATGAGATGATAAGATGTCACGCGGCCGCATTGGCGGCGGTGCGCTTCTGGGAGCTGACTGTGATAATCTCTGGATCCTGGCCGTTGTTGGAGTTACACGGGTTGGAGTTGGTGGGTGTAACTGTCTAGTTACTGGCAGGTCCAGTCCCAAACCGTGCAGGCTTGGAGATCTCAGCCCCGGGTCCCACACACCTGGGTTCCTCTGCTAGTTCTTTTATGCGTGAGGCTCATCCAAGTGTGTGGAGAGTGGTCCCAGCATGGTCTTGGCTGGGCCCCGGAGGTCTTCAGCTATCAGGCCCTGGTGGAGACAGTCAGGCACAGGGTAGGAGACTCTGCCTTGTTCTCTCCTGGGAGCTGAGTGTGATAATCTCTGGATCCTGGCCGTTATTTAGTGTTATCATTCCTTAGATAACACTAAATTTGCCAAAATGCATAATTTGCAAAGCTATTTCCAAAGGAAACTGCCAAATTTTGCACAAAGGACTGCCCAAGGACCAAGGCAGTAGGAGAGGAGTAAGAAAAAAATAACCTTCCATTTCTACACAAGTAATTTTTTCAAATGATGCAGCAGTTTAAGGAATAGCCTTCCATGTATATAGCTCTCCTGGGAATAGTTTAGAGTTGAATATCACAATCAAATTGATTTGACATAAACCTTATAACCAAGGACCCTTCAATTCTGGGATAACTGAGCTACTTCCTTTCTGGACAATAAAACTGCCATTAACTTCCAGAGAGAATATAGTCCAGGGTGAAATGGCCACACCATTATGTCATTTTGAAGATGAACATTTGTAATCCACAATAAAAATCTCAGAGGCCAGAAGAAAGTAGAGCAGTTAAGGGACATACCCACCATGCACCCAACAAGGGTCCGATCCCCAGCACCTCATGGTCCCCTAAGAATTACCAAGTGAATCACTGGAAGCTCTAAGCACTGTCAGGACAGCCAAAATAATCACATCACTGCAGGCCCTGAGTAGCAGCACCACATCTTCGGGCCCTTGCACTGAACTGTTGGCCCGGCTGCTCATGAACCATCAAGAGGGTCTCTAGTGCTTCCTGCATATAAGGGAGGGAGGGAGGGACTGAGGGAGGGAGTGAGGGAAGGAGGGAGGGAGGGAGGGAGGAAACCATTGAAGTTCTGACAGTGGTGGATAAATTTCTCTTCCTCTCCTTAAGCACACCTTTTTCAAGGCTTTTTCTGAGCTACTAACAAGACCCCCACCATGAAAGAGCACTGAAAGTAATGTTCAAAAAGTTTAAGAAAAACACAAACTGGGAATGGAGAGATAGAAGTTTAGGTATTTGCCTTTTATATAGACTCTGATTTTATTCTCTGCATCACATGTTTCTCTAAGCAGGAGTATTCCCTGAGAACAGAGCCAGAAATAAACGCTAAGCACCACCAGGTACACACCCACCTCTATAATAAAAGAAAGAAACAAAATACACATCCATCAGTATGAGATGAGATAGGCTGAGATGAAGCAAAGAGTCAAGTTAAGAAAAACATTGGTCCTTATCTGTTCTACAATGAATTTGCATTCCTGATTGTGGCAATGAATTTCTCATCATCTTTGTTTAATGTATTGAGAACAAATTAAGTAATCGGAATGACACCAAATATTAAGTAGGACATCAAGAAATAATCTTCATTCTCAAGAAGCATTTAATCTTTTGAAGATCATAGTATTAGAAGAACAGATTCCAGAGGTCATGGTCAATGGTTTGAATTCACTAGCTACTTGACTCAAGAAAATTCTTAATGTCTTTGAGTCTTGATTTTCTTATCTGATGAACAGAAATTACAGCGTCAGGTTTGTATACGTCAGTGTTTTAATTTGATAAGAATGTACACAAAACATTTCCTAAGGGATTCTATATAAGTATTTAACAGTATTATGCTTGGAGCAGAGGAAGAGATAAGATTTTAGGCTTAACAGCTTGATTGGAAAAGAAACTTCACAGAGTCTCTGCCTCCCACTTTTGATTCTTATGTGAGGAGAACTTGGAAAAACTCAAATTTACAGTTACTTGGAGGTTATGTGAAAGTTAATTCTGGTGCCAAGGAAAGGACTTCAACCAAATTTTGCAATCTCATATGCAAGGCTGTGCACCTGCTCCTTAAGGATTGGTTTTAAGAATCCACCTCCTTTTCAGCTTCGGCAGCAAAATCTGTGATCAGTGAGGCTGAAAATGGAATGAGGCAAGGGCCTTTCTCAAAAGATTTGAGTGATGTCTTCAGAATGCCACACACACAGAGAAATTAAGCTGTTTGCCAAAGCAAGCTCCTTGGACAGATGGCACCTATAAAATATGGAACAGGAAGGTCAGGGTAACAGGCAGAGTCTAGCCCCTGGATACCAACCATGACCAAAGATGTCTACACCCTGGACCCCAACCATGACAAGAGCAAGAAAGTTCACTTTCTTCTTGAGAATGGAAAAATTCAGAAATGAATTCTGTGTCTACACAGGCTTTCAAGAGGAATACACGTTTGATGCAAAAATGGTAAAAAGCTGTTTCAGTTCCTTTTTATTCATTCCTATACACATCCATAAATGTTTTCAGGCAATTTCAGATGGACTTGTGGTGGAAGGAGAACAGCACATTGATCAGGAGACCAGGGTCTGGGTTCAGACAATCTGACTCCAGTGATATCCTGAGAATATTCTGTGTAAAAGTTCTTGATGCACACTATCAGAGAAAAAGATGATGATGATGTCAATGTGGTATGTAGGAAGCATTTTAATGGAAACTTAGGATATGAACATATTTGAAATATTTGATAGTCCAGTTGGGGAAAGCATATAATTAGAAAATATGATAAGTGACTACAATAGAAAGGTCCCACAGGATGGCAAACAACTGTTGGGTTTTACACTTCCTGTACTTCATGTCAAGTTGTTCTACAAGTTGTTCTACATGCTTTAGTCAATTAATTCAGTTATTCTTCATAACCACCTGATATAGGAATGTTAAAATAATAGCATCTCAATTTTACATAACTTTTCAACTTTACATTTGAGGAATTCAAATAGAAGAGATGTTAAATACTATCTAAACTCAAAGCATGGAGTAGATAACTTTGCTTAGCCAGGGGACACAGTATGGTGAAGTTTCCACAGAGAGTGTAACAGCAAGTCCAAGTTGAAGGATGAAGTTAAACAGGAGCATAAGAGAAAGGACAGTGAAGCCAGCAGCAAAGTTTTTGAGGTAGAAAACTTGTGTGTCTGCAGAGCTGCAGGAAGTTTTGAATGCAGGGAGAGTGTAGAAGGCAGGTGAAGGGGATTGGGTGCTGAGAGAGGTAAAGAATATTATGTCCTGTGTGCAGCAGAAAGGAGTGTTGATGTGTTATTGGGCGTAAGACAGAAATGCTCAGTCTTGAACTTTTAGGTCATCTTTAAATTAGTCTGGAAGCAGTGTTGAAAAAAAAAATTAGAAAGGAATCAACCTGGTACTGAATCAGAGATACCAAAGCAGAGGAACTCACCTCACAGTGATTCACTCCACAGATTTCCAAATGCATGTGCAGGCCTGATTCCTTCAAAATATGTCCAGGTATCACCAGGCTTTCATCAATTCCTTTTTTATAAGCCTAGGGCTGGAGCAATAGCACAGCAGGTTCGATTCCTCCGCCCCTCTCAGAGAGCCCGGCAAGCTACCGAGAGTATCTCGCCCGCATGGCAAAGCCTGGCAAGCAACTCGTGACGTATTCGATATGCCAAACATAGTAACAACAAAGTCTCATGATGGAGACATTACTGGGCCCACTCGAGCAAATCGATGAACAGTGGGAGGACAGTGACAGTGACAGTGAAGTCAATGTCACAGCCATCACTCTTCAGACATACTGTCAGCTAGCAGGTCTCTGGCTTTTACTCCATGCCTTTGAGCCCTGTTCTCCATGATTGACAGGAGGAACATTTTAAGAATAATAATTCTGCGCATTGCTATGGCTTGAGCTGAGACTACTGGTTGGTTGATGAACTCTGAAGTGAAGGTAGTATGCTACATGAGGGGCAGGTGTTTCACGAACACCACAAGGGTCTCTGGACCAATGGGTGGTGTTTGGTAATAATTCTTGCTACAGAAAATTGGTGGCACCACTGATTTCCCATGGAAACTCAACAGTGACTTCTTACCGATGGACATTACTGACAGAACCTTTAGGATCTGGCCTGACACTCTTAGCCCTTCCACCCCGACTCCAGACCACTGCAAATTTGTCTCCTTTGCCAGAGATGCTCTTCTTTTATTTATGCTTTTTTTATAATTTTTTATTTTACAAAGTAGTCCACAATATTTCATTACATCCAACCACCATTTATACCTTTCCACCATCATATTTCAGATGTTTCCATCCTGAACCCCAATCCCTGCCCCAAAGCAGAACAAAATAAAATATTTTGTATTGTTTGTTTTGAAAAACCACTGAAAATGGTACAGAAAAAGGTATCCTTAGAGGAAAGAGTGTGAGAATTGTTGTATTTCACCCAGGGGCCATTAAGCACTTCTATAGGAGATCACTTACATGTTGTTAAAGGTTCAGCCTTGTGTGCTTTTTTTAATATATATTTCTGTAAAAAAATGTATATTTCCTTCTAAGACTGGTTGTCTCCTACCTTAAGCCCTATCAAATGTGGTGAGGTAATCTTGGCCTATGGGGAGGGTGTGTGGTTTGAAGTATTCCGTGGCTGCAAATGCTTCCAGGAATAGATTCACTCATGAGTGAGTTTCAGCAGCCCGAGAGTGTGGAGAGCAGCGGTGGGCATAATGACAGCTGGGTTCTGGTTTCAGCTGCCAGGGCTGGGTCCCTTGGTGAGTCCCCTCCCCATCCCCTATGGGGCGCCCCAAGTGAAACAGCCTGGTGTGGGGTCTAGTGGCATGGTTATGGCAAGGGTCATGTTATTTTCCCTTTTGGGAGAGAATAACATGCAATCTGGATGGTGGCCTATGACGAGAATATTTGATGCTCTTCTTTTAATCCTTATGGATTTTTCTTCTCCTTACTTCAGTGTCCTCAGAAAAGACTGTTCCAGTAAACTTTACTCTTTTAAGGAAGATGACTCCCCACCCCCCAGATGTGGGGGACAGCAAGGGAGCCAACATTGGAGGTACATGAGTTTTTGAGTTCATAGGGAATAAGAGAACGAGTGGGGTGGGTTTTCCAGTGTGTGCATCTAAAACCCATTTTTTATTTATTTTCCATTCTAAATCTCTTATGTTTCCTTTGCATTCATGAATGAGATTTTCAGTCTCCAGAACCAGGCTTAACAGTTAAAAATTTCTAAAGATGCGAAGCAAGCTTAAAGGATATGCTGGCTTTCCCTTTTCTAATGCCTAGGTAATGAACTGAAATTACATACAAGGTTTGAATTTTTATGAAAAGTTATTCATATACTTTATTCTCTCACCCTCAAATCTCTTTCCCCTCTGTCAACCCTTAATTATAACTTTATTTCAAAGTGCCAATGAAGTATGCAGATATAAACTTATTTAACATGCTACTGGCAAAAGATTTGAGGATTTTTTAAATGAAGAAAATACAAAGCTTATGAAGGACTAAATCCATTTTTACAGAAAGTAAACTAAAACCAAAAACTTAATTTCCCTTAGCAGTCTATGCAATGCCTCATTTGTACCATATGCCTGCTTCAACATTCATTTTGCTTTGCTCACACATACCTCCTCCTCCCTGCCGTGCCCTGCAGTTATACTTTAGAAATTTTTTTTTAAGTGTACACTTAAGTCTACCTTTCTGATACCTACTTCCCTTCTATAACTGTTAGACACTTAGGGATGGAGCGATAGCACGACGGTAGGGCATTTGCCTTACAAGCAGCCAACATGGCCGACCTGAGTTCGATTCCTCCGCCCCTCTCGGAGAGCCCGGCAAGCTACCGAGAATATCTCGCCCGCACGGCAAAGCCTGGCAAGCTCCCCGTGACGTATTCGATATGCCAAACACAGTAACAACAAGTCTCACGATGGAGACATTACTGGGCCCACTCGAGAGATATAGTAAGAAAAATAACACAAAATTTTCACCTTGTGAATCATAAACGCTGATATCAGAAATTCTGCAGATTCATAATATTACTTAAACTTTCATGATTTTGATTGTCTGGATATGTAGGAAGTTGCCTCAGCTGTGCTGGGAGGCACAAGAGCTACGCCTGGCAGTATTTTGGAGAACAATGGTGCTGGGATTCAAACCACAAGCCCTGTACCTGACAGGAATGCACTTCACCCTTTGAGCCATTTCCTCTGCCCTTTTCATGATTTTTAATTTCTCTTTAATATTTCAAAGGAGTTAAATAAGTTCAAGCAAATTAAAAGCTTTAGGAAGATGCAGAAGATGGGAGTGAACATGATCAAAGCCCCTGCCTGTGCCTGACTGTTACTAGTATTTGTCAGTAAACACTGGATAAAGGATGTAAGTCAGATGCTTTCATTTGGTTACACCATTATAATGATTTTGGCCATCAATGCCAATGGGCAGATGCCCTGGAGTGAAACAGGACCATGGTACCAATAGCAGCTGCCTCAGTTAGTCCTTAAGCAAATAAAAAAATATCTAAAGGTAAAGGTAAAGGCCCTCCCGTTGATCGTCGATTTGCTCGAGCGGGCCCAGTAACGTCTCCATTGGAGACTTTGTTGTTACTGTGTCTGGCATATCGAATACTCTCGGTAGCTTGCCGGGCTCTCCGAGAGGGGCGGAGGAATCGAACTCGAGTCGGCCATGTTGGCTGTGTGCAAGGCAGACGCCCTACCCGCTGTGCTATCGCTCCAGCCCGATGGCCGAGTGGTCTAAGGCGCCAGACTCAAAAAAATATCTAATAGCAAATAAAGTATGGACATGGTTTCTTAGTGAAGCTCAACTGTCAGGAATAATATGCTTTACATGCAAGTCTAAAGAAAGAAGCAAAAAAGAGCTTGGTTGACAGCAATTACACAGCCTCATATATATTTTTTATGTATCTGTTTCATAAAGCATGTATGATTTGTATTTTATCTGACAAGAGATAAGTAGATTGATCTGGTCATGATTTTTCCCTGCCCACACCAAACATGGATGAGACGGTGTTTTTGAAGAAAATAATCTGAAGGCTAATAATTATCCAGGATATCTTACTGCTGAGTGGTCCTTCCTTTCAGGCCTGAAATTCACATAGAAAACGTCCTGTATCCTTCTGCATAGTGGAAAGAGGTGGGTACAGGAGTCAAGCCATATTTGTGATGCACTGAGAGAGGTGCCTGCCTTAGGTGCTCCCAGGGCAGCTCAGATGTACCCCTAATATACATCCTATACACTTTGGGTATTTAACTGAACCTTATGGGGAGCCACAGATTATGATTTCAGCTCCAGTGGGGCAATCAAGAGGGAAAGGATGGGGCAGATAAGAGATGTGGTCCAGATCTGAGGCCTCCTGTGCCTTCCGCTTCGGGGAAGCAGGCAAGAGAAGGAAAACAAGACGTGTTAGGTTGTACCAGATAAGGTTAGAACCACAGAAATTAAAAGGCAAGAAGATATGATAGAGAGGGTCAAGGACATCAATTTCTGGGGTGGCTAGAAAAGAAGGACCTGAAAAGTTTACATCTAAATAGCAAAAAAAGAGTTGAGATGCTATCTAGAGGAAAACCTTTCCATAAAAGATAACAATTACAATGGTCCCAAGGCACTAGCTTCAAAAATCAAAATTTAGGGCCAGAGAGATAATTTAAAGGGTTAAGAGCTTGCTTTGCAGGCAGCAGACCCTAGTTCAATCCCTTGACAGTGAGTATATTTTATAGTATTCAGTTTATGGAGGCGGAGAGATCCTACAGTGGGTAGGGTGCTGGCCTGGTATATGCTGACCCAGGTTCAATCCCCACTATCCCATATGGTCCCTAGAAAACTTCTAGAAGTGATTCCTGATTGCAGAACCAGGTGTAACCACTGAGCATCATGAAGTGTGGCCCAAAAATTAGGACTGTCCTGTAGCACTGCCCTCCCATTTTTCATCGAGTTGCTTGAGCGGGCCCAAGTAGTGTCTCTTTTGTGAGACTTGTTGTTACTGTGTTTGGCATATTGAATACATCATGGGGAGCTTGCCAGGCTTTGCCGAGAGGGGCGGAAGGATAAAACTTGGCTAGGCTGGGCCAGCTGCATGCAAGGCAAATGCCCTACCGCTGTGCTATCGCTCTGGCCCAAAGAAATTAAAAAAAAAAAAATTAAAGCTTTGGGTTGAACATTTTAAATGGGTACATTTGGAGAGTCACCCATGTAGGCTAAGAGGAACCTGGGGCTTCTCCCAGATATACTTGGCTTACTAGTTCAGTGGTACCAGGGAACACCAGTGCCATGCCAGCAGGGACGCCATATTGTGCCAGTGACGGAATGCAGATTGGCTGGCTGGAGTGCACCATGACCTCTTTATTAGTGCCGTGGTCTTAATTGGATAAATTTTATGGTACGTGAATAAATATTTCAATAAAACTGTGACCAAAAGAAAAACACCTTGGTATATTGAATGGAATGAACAGTATATAATATTCCTCAAAGCCTACAATGAGTATTTTTAGCATCTATGAATCTAGCTAAAAGAATGTCTTCATAGGATATGACCTGGTGACCATAAGCACCGTCAAAGAGTGCAAGCCTGAGACTCAAAAATCTGTGCAGAGATTGAAAGCTTTTTAGATACTTACTCATTTCCTCCTTAATTAGGATCTTTTGTGTGCCTTGAGCACACAACCCATTTTAGATTAACTAGCTGGATTACTGTCATTTGCAATCACTGTAAAAAGCAACACTAAATTAATATTATTGAGATAACAGTAAGATAAATATATTTAAATGATCCTGTTATGTTATAAACATTAAACCACTGGAATCTAAGAATTATAACTGATGGAATCAAGCAGAATTTAGGTCACTCTAGCAGTCACATACAAATAGTGCTAATTAAACATTTTCTGACTTCTTGGAAAAATAAATACCAAATGGAGGGAAGAAAATCATAGGCTTGCGATATTTTGGGAGGGTTATGATAAAGTATTACTATTTATTTATACCCCATTTCATTCCCAAAAGACTTTCACATTGCTTA